GAGAGAGAGAGAGAGAGAGAGAGAGAGAGAGAGAGAGAGAGAGAGAGAGAGAGAGAGGTTCGAATCATACTTGCAGCGTATCTCATGCGTGGGGTGCCGCACGCACATGCACGCACGCACAAGTGATGCGGCGCATTAAAAAAATAGAAAAACAAAAATGTCCTAGTTGTGTCCAGCCTCTTTTCGGAAGGATCCCTACAGCATATCAGCTAGGACCCGACGTCGTGCAGAGATACACTTCAAACTTGTACTCCCTGAGGGTGGGCAGAGAATATATAGTCTGGATTCGAATTCATGTCTGTGCATGTCGGTTATGGGTCACCATTTCTCTGTTTTCTCGTTTTTCTTTTCTTAGGAATACGTGCAGTGGCCCTAAGGGCCTTTACTCACCAAATGCACAAAAGACAAAACATATGGTGGCGTATTATTCCACGTTCTGAAGAATATTCATTCTAATTTTGCACATTTCGTGAGTAGTGCAGCCAAGCCCTAACAGTCACGTGCACAGACCAATAGGCCCTAGCTACGTGAGCAACCCATAACTGCTGAAACACAGACCTGAATTCGAATCTTGAGTATATATTCGGCCAGCTCGTGCTCTATTTCATATTCACTGCCTGCCTCAATTTTGGTGGGGGGGTCTGCGCTACATGTCTGCGAGGACCCTTCAGATAGCCTGCATGGGCCGTCTGAGCTGTGTCAAGGGGATCCGTTCTTTCTCTCTCTCCCTCTCTCTCTCTCTCTCTCTCTCTCTCCCCCCTTGTATACACACACACCCCTTACAAAAAAGAAAAAGAAGAAAAAAACGCATCTGCGCCCCATCACAGACACCCCCCCAACCCCAGCACCCCGCACCCAGACCAACCCCCCCATCCCCCACCAAAACCAAAATTTTATTGCAGATTCGGGGGCCTCTCGCCGAGCGCAGCATGACCCCGGTTTCAAAAAAAAAATAAAAAAATTCTGGGCGTTTTTTTGTCCTGCCCGGTTTACCCGGGCGGACCCCCGGGGCCCGGCAGGGCAGGCCCGGCCGGGCGGCGTCCTCACTCAGGTACTGGTGCTTTAAGGTGACTCTTATTCACATGTTCAAGTCTGTGCTTATCATCAAGTGTGCCGCCCTTGGTTTTCCCATGTGCCGTGCGGAAATGTCAATCACTTATCAAAAGATTCAAAACGTTTGTTTTCTTTCCCCTAATAAGTTTGTTTTCCAGTCGTGTGAAATACATAAATGATAAATCTATGGATTGCTGGCTATAAGAAGGTAGTGCCTAATCTAGGCTCCCACGAAGTCGCAGGGGAAATGATAGATGGCACCTCTATTAAGTCACGCGTGGCTTCCAGCCCGAAGGAAAACGCACCTGCGAGGCTCCAGGCACGGACATGTCCGCCGAATTGCTGGACACGAAGTCCGTTTGGGTAAACTACTAAACTGTCGTATCTGAGGATTAATCCCGTCTCCTCTTCTCCCACAGTCGGCCAGGAAAAGGGAGTGGATATGGAAAAGGGGTGTGGTGGGGGCGGGGGTGAAAAAATGGGGGAATGTAACAGCATAGCCTCTGCAGAAGTAAAGGGTCCTAGTAGTCAGTAGGCAGGGAGTTGCCAATTGTCCAGTCCCGGTCCCATTGCGGCTCAGTTCCAGAGATGGCCCACGATCGAATCTGTGTCTGCCGCAACAGGGCCTGGCAGGAAGCGTCCGGAATCATGTGGGAGGCAGAGGCACAGACACAAAAAGGAGGCCAAGGTCAGGAACCTCCTCGTCTTTGAGTCTGGCAGATGCAGAAGCGCTGCTGCGTTGCTGGGCACCAAGACATTGGAGCGTGAACATTGCCGGGAGAGAGAGTATGGATGGGGCTGGACGCCATAGCTGTGAGCTTGTATAGAGGGGGAGAGAGAGAGAGCAAGAGCAACAAGGACATTAGAGAGTGATCGCAGGGCTTGGGTGCAGTGTGTAGCAGGGTTGCATCCCTTCCGACCGCCGACCCCGACCGCCGACCATATTGCAGCCGACCATATGGTAGGCGGTCTGCCGACCAGTAAAAAAAATAAAAATAAATAAAAACTGTCCACTGTTTTTTTTTCAAATCTGAGTTGGGGGCTGTATTGTGCTTGCTAAGTACAGCCCAAATCCGCTGAGAAACTCTTGGGGATGGGGGGGGATATGGGGGGGTTTGGGTTGGATTATAGGGGGGTATAGGGGTGGTATAGGGGGGGTATAGGGGTGGTATAGGGGGTATTGGGGGGGCCCGGGGGGTAATGAGGGTGTTGGGGGCGGTTTGGGGGGGTGTATGGGGGTATTGGGGGACACTATGGGGGTGTTGGATGTGTCATGGGGGGTTCTGGACCCCTCCCCCCCTTAAAAATAAAATAAAATGTTTTTTGCAGGGTGCCGACGACCCCTGACTGGTAGGTGCCAACCAGCCGCGGTCGGTGGGTCGGCAGCCGACCAGTCAAGCGCCGCCGACCGTCGGGGGGTGCAACAATGGTGTGTAGTAGTAAAACTGGAGAGAGAGAGAGAGAGAGAGAGAGAGAGAGAGAGAGAGAAGGGAGGGATGAGAGAGGGGGAAGAGAGAGAGAGAGAGAGAGAGAGAGAGTGGGATGAGAGAGAGAGAGAGAGAGAGAGAGAGAGAGAGAGAGAGAGAGAGAGAGAGAGAGAGAGAGAGAGAGAGAGAGAGAGTTGCTTGTGGTTATTGCTGGTGCGACCTTGAGGAACCTGTGTATATCATTTCAAGTTGTAATGAAGTTCTGTGTGTGCTCGTATCGCGAGGATCTTGCTGTTGTGACGAGGATCTTGATCCACCGTAAGGCAGATCTTTGCCATGAAAAGGTCGAAGTGCAGGCCTGGAAGTAGTATGGCTGGAGTATCAGCAACAGTGCCGGATAGCTCAATGGGAGCCGGAACTCAGAACTGGGCAACGGCTCTTTTTCTTCTTTTCTTTTCTGTGAATCTGCACTGCTTTTCATTTTTCTTAAATTTCTTTGCCATTTACTGCTTGAACAGAACCTCCTTTGGGTCGGTCCGGACAGCATGAGTCTGCTTCCTATTCCGCTGGCGTCTCAGAAAACATGGAAACGTGCGATATCTGTAGGCGAATCTGCTTTTTCCGGATACTATCGACATTCTCTGGACAATTTATGTGTTCTCTGAAGCGTTGCCCTTTTCCTCACGAGGTTATCACAGCCAATTGTTTTTTTGGCCCAATGGCTTCGTCTTTCCTCGGCTTGTTGCCGCTTTCTTTGCTTAGTACCTTTTTCCTTAAAATACCACCTCAGGGTGAAAACACTGAAAATGCTATGGCCTTAAATAATATAAAATATTAACATTACACCAATCTCTTTTGCCATTTTCCCTCTATGTGTCGGGTCTAGGCAAAATAATTTACAAATTAGTAACTAGCATGGTTACGCCGTACCCGGACCCGGACCGGAGCATACCCTAAACTGGACACACGTCCAGAACGGACTGGAACTCCGGACATGATCCGGACCGTCAGGACATAGCGGACGCGGACGGTCCGGAAAAAAAAGAAAAAAAATAGAAAAACCTGCCAGGGTGGGTGACTTGTGTCAATCCTTTCACAGCACAACCGACACCCTGCACCCCTCTGTTCCTCCTTGATGTCCACTTCGTCTCTGAGATCCTCCCTCCCCTACGTTGCCGCCGTCCTCCCTCCTCTGCGTCTCCTGCGTCATCCACAACTCCTCCCTCCTCCATGACTCTCTCTCTCTCTCTTTCTGATGGCGACGTTGGCTCGATGATGGCGACCACGTGCACACGGGAGCCACAACGGCGGCGATAGGGGAAGCGCTGCAACGATGATGTCAACAGCTCGTTGCATTCCAGCGGGGTGAATGGCGGGCGAGGGGAGTTTCGATAGCATACCAGCGGGCTGAATGGCGGGCGGGGGCAGTTTCAATTCGAACAGACCTCGTTTCCCACCAAAAACGAGGCCACACCAAGACTGCACAGCCCAGAGTGAATGAAAAAAAAAAAAATCTAAAAATTGTGCATCCGGCCGTGTCTGCAGAGGCCCAAAGGGTCAAAAAATTACCAAAGACAATTTTCTGGGGTTGGCCTCGACGCAAGGAAGGGTCCAGGCCGACCCGTTAAAAAAAAAAAATCCTCTATATTTGGCACCTTCCGGACCCTCCGGACCATACGTCCGCGCGGACATGGTACTCCGGACTGTGTGGAACTCAGTCCGGACGTCCGGAACATAACCATGGTAATTAGTGTTAAAAAAGAAGAAGAAAAAAAGTGTAAATTTGTAAAACGTATACATGAGCAAGTTTCAGGGCCTCGGTGCTATTGGGCAATAATGGATTCTGCCGCCAGCCAAAAAGAAAAGAAATTGTGCTTTCAGCACGATAATTTCGGATCAGTAAAAAATAATTTCGGATCGGTAAAAAATAGCCTCAGGCCCTCAGACGCAGTGGTCGTTTAAGACTCCGCAGTTACGATGCCAGATAGCTCCGAATAACCTTCCTATACTCTGTTCTTCTATAGTTGATTTTTTTTTTTCCTGCCGGCAATCACGGGTGGGTGTAAAAGTGAGAGGACCAGGGATGCTGATTGGTCGGGTCATAGATATGGCTGGCTTCGTTTTTGTTCCAAGGTGTTTCCCCCTTTTCCCTTTTCTCCTTCTTTTTCTTCTGCTTTTCTTTTTCCCTTACCGTTTGCGCTGACTTTTTTCTCCTTTTTTCCTCCTTTCCTTCTCCTTTTCTTCTCTCTTTTGTTTTTCTCTCTTTTTTTCTCCTTTTCTTTCTATTTTTCTATTTTTCTTTCTATTTTTCTTTCTCGTTTTCTTCTTTTCTGGTTTTCTTTGTCCTTTTCCCTTCGTGCTGATCTTTTTTTCTCCTTTTCTTCTCCTTTTTTCCTCTTTCTTTCCTCCATTTTCCCTCCTTTCTTCTCCTTTCTTCTTCTCCTTTCTTCTCCTTTTCTTCTCCTTTCTTCCTCTTGTTTTCCCTCCTTTTTCCCTCCTTTTTTCTCCTTTTCTTTCTCTTTTTCTTCTTTTCCGGTTTTCTTTCTCCTTTTCCCCTTGTGGTGATTGCGAACAGATTTACCCGCCGGAGGATTGCATAGCGGGACCGCTTCTCCCGCGGTATTTTGATCGGGATCTCATCAATGAAACTCTGGCAAGGCTCACGGTTGACAATGTGAGGTGCGGATGAAGCAGCAA